ATTAATAGTTTAGGGGAGGAGATTTTTTGTCTGTGATGCATCACTCCAGAGCACTGTAACTGCAGAACACTGCCCTTAGTTCTGCAGCTACAGCAAGGGACTGGAGTATTCCTACAAGTAAGCAGAGGAATGCATTTACAAAGCGGATTCTTTAAAGAGAAATACAGCAGCATCATGAAGTAAAAAGCTAGCTACTCAACACGCTCGTTAGTTGCATTGTGAAAAGCTCTGCTCGATCCAATCACTCGATCCAAACTGTGTACCCACGTTTAAATGTTCACCCCAATTGTACACGGGATATATATGTGCATAAGTACATCAACATGTGTAAGCAACTCTAAAAATTAAAACCAAAAGAGTTACAAAGCTTTAAAATCCATTTTTCAAAAGGTTCTTCCATGTTGAGTTAGAAAATACTCCCAACATTTACACAGACTCACATTTCACATCAACTATGAAAAGCCTGAATTAGTCTACAGCAGCTTCAGAGCTGAAGTTTAGGGGAGAAGATTATGACTTTCATATTCAAGAAACTTCTCTGCATGTATATGTCACATCTTCACAAGGCACAAAAATACTGCTTTCGCTAATTATCTCCATACACATGTATACAAACATGGTGTTATTTCCAAATGACTGGCAAAAACACTGCTGTGTGTCCCCATGCAAGCACTGTGATCAATTTTATGCAGCTATATTATCATTAATGTATATAAAATAACAGAGGTGAGACTAGAACACAAGAAGGTTGCAGCACACTAACCACAAGGTAGGTTCTAGGAACGAGGCCTCTCTCCCCTTTTGAGTTTTCCGCTACCCACCAGCCATCCGCCTTCTTATCGTGTATAAGTAGGACTTCACCTTTCTTTGCCATTAGAAGGAGAGACAGAGACAAAAGACAACAAAATATTTCAAAATGGCTCCAGGCACAACTGAAAAAACACAAAAGCTTAATTTTTCCCACAACAGAGATCACAGACTACCATGGCAGACTCTGCCACTACAGAAGGTGTCAAAAGGACACTGGATTCCACCAAGTACAGTGGGAAAAGCCATTTATCCCTGAATCCCACAAGCAACCAGATGAATCCCAGAAGCATAGGATTTACAGTTATTGCTTAATACAGAATGATCTGCACCCAAAAAACTTTTAGAGAGACATATTTACCGTAAATGTGAGATCCCCTTCCTGCTGTGCATTAAAGTTTCCAACTGCAATACATTCTTTGACATTTGGATCATCCAACAATTTATCCTCCTCATCATCATCTGCTTCTTCACTGTCTTCTTCCTCGCTACTTTCTTCATCTTCACTCTCACTCTCTTCTCCATTTTCATCTTCTGTTTGAGGATCTTTCTGATGTTCCTCATCTCTACCCGAAATAAATAAAACTTTTAAATTATTATTATGTTAAAAAACTTCTTGAAATTGTTGTAAAGCCTTGCAATATGGGCTTCTCTGCAGGGTCATTATCCAGACACAGAATTTTTACTCCTGTGTTTTACTCTCTATTGTGATCTGAAAAAAAATCAAAATCCCAGTGGTGTTTCCTCCCTAAGCGTACACACCACACTGCATCCTCTCAAGAGCCACATTATATTTCAGCCATTAACGAACACTCTCAGAAAATTCCAGCGAGTCCTCTTCTCGACTGCATCAAGAAAACAAGCCCCATAAGAGGTGGCTCATCAGCACTTCTTTTTTAACTGTGTGTTAAGATAAGAAAGGGGATGAGCTACCAATTCTTCAGGGTCCCTTCCAGCCCTGCATGTACAATTCCATGGAAGTGCAGATTGTATTTATTTGTTTGAGCTACTTACACTGCGTAATTTGTAGTTGCGTTATCCTTATCCAAGACAAGAACAAGTTTCTGCAGCTGCTGAGAGAGTTTTAGCAATAGCTTTTCTTCTTCTTCTTTCCTCTGATTATAATTCCCCACAGGCGCAGGCTCATCAGCCTGAGAAAGAATAACACAACAAATTGCTCAAAGAATCAAAACAAAGTTAAAGTTTCCCTATAAAGTTCATTTTCCACATATCTTGTGAGCTTTCACCTTCCTAGGCTGCTGCCACTCCCTGTTCAGTGACATCTTTCTTGCCCTTTTACCCTGCCAAGATGAAATTTCTTGTTGAATTTGAAATCTGCACTCTCCACTTGCAATATAAAGTGTTGGGTTGATAATATTTCAAGTGCAGAACTTGTACACGAAAAAGCATTAAAAACATGCTTTTAAATAATATGACCGGATCTCAGAGGTGCCATCCGGGGGTTGTGCAGTGCTCCCGAGGCATCTAAAATCCAAGGAGGCTGGTGTTCTCGAAACACTCGCTCTGATGCATTTTGGAGAAAACCATTAACAAATTTGTCCCCATGCTTACTTTTTTCAAATCATGAAGAGCGTTTGTATTCTCATCCACCAATTTCTTCAGCTGCATACATCTGCATTGAAAGCAAGACAGACAGCATTTTCTTAAGATTCTGACCGATGGGGGGGTGACCCAAATCACTGCACGCTTACTGAAACGTGCAAACTCAGACGCTCTGCGTGCTACAGCTCGGCAAACACCACCACAAGCCCACACTGCAGCTTAGCTGATCGTTACCTGCGATGTGCAACTTCCCGCTTAAAACTGCCTCAGCCCTTGTGGACTGGGAAGCGGCTACCCTGTTGCTTCTGCCCGGGAAACGGGCGAGTGGGAAGGGGCAGGGACGAGATCCGTACGGTTGGGAGAAAACCGGGACGTTGGGCAGGGTATCGCCTGCTCCTTCCTCCGACGCGAAGGCGACGGGGAACGGAACCAGTCTGCCCGGGGCTTCGCTCCGGGCAGTCACGAGACGGTTCTTCCCGCCACGCAGCTCCGGGTCTCGGAGCGTCGCTACGGCTAAAAGCGGGGGGCAGGCTGTGGGCAGGGGCCGGGGACCCCTCGGGCGGCGCCTCACCTCTGCGAAAGGGCCTCCCGCTGCCCGGGGGCCGCAGC